AAAAAAAAAAAAAAGAATTATCAGTGGATGCTAAATCCAGGGGGGTGAGATTTGATGAGGAGTAAGCTATTCACCTAGTCTCAATGAGTCTTCCCACAAAATGCTTAGTAGGGGCACAGGTATAAAGAGTACACAGTAGAAAAACTGGACAACACTTCAACTGCATAATCAAAATTAATCTTCACAAGGAGGAGCAATCAGATCTCATGTGCCTCTGGCTGTGATTTCCTGAGGAGACATCACTACCTATATAAGTATTCCAGCCAAGAATACATAACCTGAATCTAATCTTAGGAAGTATCAGATAAACTCAAATTGAGGAAGAGTAAAAATGTATTCTTCAAAATAGTCAATGTCAAGTAAGACAAAAAAAAATTGATGAAGTACCCAATTAGAGATCAAAGAGACATATGACAACTAAATGCAATGAGTGAGCCTAGACCAGAGGGACTAGAGAACATTATTGGGACAAGCTGTATAACTGGATTATCAACTGTAGGTTTCAGTAATTTATTGATGTTAACTTCTTGTAGTGGTTAATTAAGATAATGTCTTTGTTTTTAGGAAATATACACCAATGTGTTAAGAGATCAAGAGGTATGATATACACAACCCACTCCTCAAACAGTTGAGAAAAAAGTTTATACATAGAGAAGAATACACACACACACACAAAAATAGTGTATCTGGGAAAAGGGAACAGGAGTTGTGTGCAATTCTTGCAATTTTCTTGTTAAGTTTGAAATTATTTCCAAATATAAAGTTTTAAAAATCCAAAGAGAAATACTGAACCTAAATTCATTGGTTTTTTCATAGGTTGTGTATATCACAAATCAGGGCTAGAAATACAGATTCAAAGTCATCCAAATAAACAGGTGACCTAAAGAACTGCTGTGTTTAAGGTAAAGTGTGCATGCACACCACCAAGAACTTAAGGGAACTGACTGTGTCTTTTTTATTAGATAGTGACAAAGGCTTGTAAACTTACCGCCAGTGTTTCTCAACTCTTCGGCTAAGGGCAATTTTTTCTCCTACTTCTGTGCACACAGGATTAGTCAAAACGATTTTGCCCAAATCGGCCTTGACTGCGCTAACTCTTCCTCCTGTTGACAGGGATCCTATGTTCACCATGAGCACTTCATTCTTAGAGAGCTTTTGCACCTAGGAAAATAAATCGAGGAAAGATAAACCCCAAATCAAGAAAATGCTTTCCAAAAATGACTGCTTATTTTCCTACATCCTTGCCAACAATAGATACCAGCAATTTTCCATCTCTGCTAACCTAGTATGAGACTTTTCAACTTCCTGAAAGTAGAAAGCCAAATTTACTCACCTTTTCTTTATCTTAATCCCACATTAACCATAAAAGAATGAACCTCAAAACTGGTCCTAACATCACTGCCACTTTTCTGAAACAGGAATTACAGAGAGCACTTACCTTTGCTGCTTTCTTGTCTCCTTCAGTGCGTACACCTAGCAGCCGTCTAAGTAGGAAATAGGAGATTTCCAATTCTGTGAAGATCTCCGGTAAAGCTCCAACTGCACCAAGTACCTGTCCCACCATTCTGTCAGCCCGGCACAAAGTGGGGTCAATTTTTGTTCCCACTCCTGATATAAAAACAAGACATATAAAGCCCAACTTTTTATTTTCTATAAAGCGGTTTACCCAAAACTTAGTCAAACAAGTACAACATATACCTATACATTTTAATACACATTTATATTCTCATACTCATGTAATAGCTACACAGGCATGACAAAATACCTGTCTTATCTGAAGAAATAGAAACAAAAACCCATGGATTAGTTGGGCATTTGAGAACAGTCTCTTGATTTAAATTCTAAACAAAGGACAGAAATGACAGTCTAACTCAAAAATGAGTCTGAATATACTTAATAAAGGTTGAAAAGATAAAAATTCATAATGAGTAATTTTTAGAATATTTGCCTGCCATTTCTCCCCTGGAAGGCTGATAAAAAAATAACATCAGGACTTCACATATGATTCCTGGGACCCACCTTAAAATATTTTAGCCGCGTATGAGGAGAGAGAAGGAGACATAAAGATGAAGCAAGACTGGTAAAGTACTGATAACTGTTCAAGCTGGGTGGTTGCTACATGAGCATTATCATTAAATTATATACAGTAAACTCTTAATTACAGGATAGAAAACTGAATTATATACCCAAAAACCAGAGAACCAAAAGACAAACTTCTTTATCCAACAATTTCTTCTTTAATCCAAAGGAACAACATATCTAATTCTCTTTGAATCTTGTCTTTTTCTGGGTATCTGGTAAGAAACTAAGTTGTAAGGAACTAGAAAAATCCATAAAATCATCTCAGTAATTGCTACACAATCGAAGTTATTTTTTTATTCCCACCTCAGAGTAAACATGATCTGACAGGATTCAACTGACATTTGTGGGTAACTTTCCATTTGCAAAACACACAAAAAAACAACCACTCTCTACCACCAAAATTGTGTAGACAAAAAAGTATACTTGATCATTTTAAATGCTGGATCATAAAACTTATTTTATTACTGCTAAAAGGAGTTACTTCATATACTAAACCAAAATGTATTCTTCTTTATCCTTAGAAATAACTCTTACAAACACATGAAACTATTTTATGAACTAAAACCAACAGCTTAACCACACGAATGTTTCCCACTCCAATCAATTATTTAAAATACCCAATTAGGGGGCGCCTGGGTGGCTCAGTCGTTAAGCGTCTGCCTTCGGCTCAGGTCATGATCCCAGGGTCCTGGGATCGAGCCCCG